AAAAGCCAGCAATAAATAACACTTTAATATCTAAAGAGTGTTCATGTGATTTTATACATTAGTAATGTTGGGAAATGAATAAATGCATAATAATCGCCATAATCGTAAAACCGTGATTATTCTTCAGACAATAATCGTACCAACAAAATCTATAATCGTTGCATCCCTACAAACAATGTAGTTCCTGAGAAACAGTTGTGGTTGCAACAAAGTGGTTGCCAAGCAACACACAAAGTAAACAAAAGTGTATGTTTGTAGATTAATTTACAACAGCTTCGAACGCGGCTCAACCAAACAGAATCAAGGACCGGAACTATCCATTTTATAAAGAAATATTTAATATATATATAATAATATATATATTTTTGGTCAGTTTTTGATATGATGCATAAGACCAGTGATGTTTATTAAATGGGGACAGTTTTATCTTTTATTTTAAAGTCTTTAAAATTAATGTAATTAGTGCCCGAGCACCAGTGGTGTGAGTACCCTCTTGGAATTGCTCTGTTTATTCTTCTTCTCCAAATTGAATCATATTTTTGAGGGCCTAAACATGCTCCAACACTGACGAAACTTTGCACATGCATCAGAACTGGCGAAAATTTACATCTGATATGAGTTTCAGAATTGGGTGTGGCAAAATGGCTCGATAGCGCCACCTATAAAATTTCAACGAAGCGCCCCTCCTGCTACGTTTCATGTACGTGTACAAAATTCAGTACATGCATCTAATGTCCCAATACCTACAAAAAAAATTTTTTTTTGCATTTTTTTGCCATTTTCAGGCCTTGTACTTTAATGAGCTCCTCCTACATTTTTAATCGGATCATCTTCAGATTTGGTGAGTGTAATCATAAGGCCTTGCGATGCTAAAATGTGAAGATCTTGAGTTTTCGTTGAAGGGCGTATCCCTGGCAGCCTGACAAATTTTGATGTTTTGCCATGAAATATGAAGTTGCTGTAACTCAGGCAAACATTGTCAAATCTGCCCCAAACTTCACACGTTTGATAGGAGTTCTGTCCTGAACACATGTCCATGTCCATATTCAGTTATAGTCATAGCGCCACCTACTGTCAACAGGAAGTGACATGCTTAACACTGTTATGGACTCCTAGCAACATATTAAAAAGCGTCAGCAAGTGTTAAATAGGCTAGCAACATGTTAGAAACACGTTAAAACATGCTAGCAACACTTAGCTAAGTGCTATTAATACAAGGAAACAGGAAGTTGCTGTAACTCATGCCCCAAACTTAACATGCTTGGTAAGAGTCCTGGCCTGAAGACATCTACATGCCTATATTCAGTTATAGTCATCGCACCACCAACTGGCAACAGGAAGTGACATATTTAACACTGTGATACACTATTAACAACATAGTACAATATGCCATTGTGTGCTAAACATGCTAGAAACATGCTAACAACACTTGCTAAGTGATAAAGCATGCTATAAATGCCATGAAACAGGAAGTTGTAACTCAGACGTCCGATCTGCCCCAAACTCCACACGTTTGATAAGAGTCCTGACCTGAACACATCTAAAGGCTAATATTCAGTTATAATCATAGGGCCACCTGCTGGCAACAGGAAATGACTTGTTTTACACTAACTGAAACATGCAAAGTCCGATCTGCCCCAAACTTCACATTTTTGATAAGAGTCCTGGCCTGAAGACTTCACATTTTTGTAGGGCTGTTGCGATTCGTCAATTTTATTCGACTATTCGATTGTAAAAAATCCTCGACTTAATTTTGCTCGCGTCGACTAACCGGCAAAATACCGGAAGTGGCTCATTTCACAGAAAAGAATTTATAAAACACATTATTAGTCTGTTTTCCAACTTTCCAAGGCTGCATGATATATTAAACCCATTTAAAAATCATAATTAAGCATAATTGTGAATTCACAAATGCTACGATTTAATTAAATAATTATATGCGATGCAGTTCTAATACAGTATATGCGCTTTAATTATTTACATGCGTGTAGGTTAAGTACATGCGTCACACAGCGGCTCCGTTCACAGTAGTTCCACAGGAACTGTTATCATTTACATGTGTGGAGCATCTCAAAGTCCATCTCTGCATGTTGTTGTGAGTTTGGGTTTATTATAACATTCATCTGGGAACGCAACGTGCGGCATTTCATCAGATTTGTAAGGTAAATCATTTATAAATATATGCAAACTCAGGAGAAAACATCGCGGTTTCAAAATAAAAGCTCAAACCCTCACTCTGAATTTACACGTTTTGATGTCCACATATTCATTTAATTACAGTGGCTATAGCATTTCTGTCCTAAAGAAATGGCCAAATAAATTAAATTTTATTAATCAAAAAGCCTGTCTAATTAATTGAGTTTTACAGTTTTATCTTTACCAAATTCTGTTTTCCATTATTTTCTGGATTCCATTTTAATGGTTCCATTAAATTTTAATAATCAAAAGCATCTCCAATTAATTGATTTTATAAAAAATAAAAAAAAAGCTTTTTTTTTTTTTTCCAGAAATACTGCACATTTACATGTTTCTCCTAAATAAATTCTGGTAAATAATATTTCTGGTAAATACTCCTTTAAAAAATTTTTTTTGATTATAATTTTATTATTAGTAGACTAGAACACGTGGATATGTTGTCATTCTTACACTATAATACTGAACTTTGATTTCAGTGATTTGGACTATGAGATGGACACTTGCTTCGTGCACTTTATGTTGCACTTTACTTTTTTACTTTTGGATTTCATTTGGTTTAATGAAATATAGTTTAATAAAATATTCTTAAGTAAAATTGCTGATTTTTTGGGGTGGGAAATTAATCGTTTAGATTAATCAGTCGACAGATTAATCGAAATAAAAATAGTTATTAGTGGCAGCCCT